AATACTTTGAATACAAGACAAAGAAGTTCAATTACACAATAACACTCCAGTTAATGAAGCATAATTAACAGGCAGTGATTGCAAAGTTGATTGGAGATATGTTGAATGTAATAATTGGACAATTCTGTTTTTTCTATGTTTTAATTGATTAATTATTTGGATAAATTGAGGAATGTTAAACCTCATAATGAATCAATTAAAGTTCAGTTGCAGTTAACAGTAGATATTAAACTTATGTGGAAATTTCAATAGTTGAGATCATGAGTCAATTGAAGTTAGACTACCATGGAAAACCTGGAAGCATTGGACAGCCGTTTCGTCCTTTTTGGGACTCCTCAGCAGTGCGCATCCATGAGATATTGTATTTATCAATTTTAATGCCTTTCTATTCCTATAGTTCATGTATCAAAGAACATTTCATAAACTCTACAACTGTTTTCACATTAATGTGAGCATTGAACTACATAAGTTTTTAGCAGATTCACAAACGGTATTTTTTAAATCAAGGTTATTGACGATACACCACAGATCTTAATCAACAATATGCTATTTAGATGAAAAATGTAGTAAATAATCTTTTCAAACATTTTTGATTAGTTTATTCCATTTATTCATTTAAAGTACTTTTACAATACTGACAGGACCCTGATCCTGCACTCGCCCTGGCTAGTGAGCAGATAGAAGTAGTCGAGAAGTTCACGTATCTCGGTATATGTGTAAGTACTGGAGGTGGCGTGAATAATGAAATCAATTCACGTATGGGAAAAATGAAAGCGGCTTGTGACAATCCGGGTCATCTTTGGCGCCTTCGTGTTGTTAGTCTGGCTCTAAAAATTCGGATCTACAACGCTTCGCTGACAGAACTTTGTCTCTACGCTTGTGAAACCTGACCTCTCAGAGTTGAGGATGTTGGATGATTTCTGTGATTGATCATCGTTGTCTCCAAAGGATTGCTGACATCCAGTAACATCACCATGTTAGTAGTGTAGAGGTTCGACATCGTGTTCAGGCACTGTGACGACAATTCAGTTGGTGTCACAATCTTAAAACATCAATTTCGACGGCTTGAACATGTTCTACGAATGTCACCCTAGAGAATTCCATATCGTGCATTATTTACCGACGTAAAGACCGGCTGAGAAAAGTGGAGAGGCGGACAGTGTATGACATGATGTTGTGGATTGAATGAAAGCTGTATAGGACCGCCTTTTGTCGATCATTTACGACTCCCTGGTTGAGGCCCTGGAGGTGGTACAGCACACTGGCAGGAGACTTGGCCAGACATGGCTCAGAATAGAAGCCAGTGGCGGTGGTGGTATAACTTTTTTTCACTTTCTTCCTAAAAGTGAACGTACCTTCGTTAATTGAAAGAATTCTTTCTTGTTGTGTTTTTCTTAACTGAATTGCCTCTCCCAATATTTTATCGTTTCCCTTAGTTAGTTGTATGTGAGCAATATAAGTTTAGAGAATTCATGCGGTACTCTGAATTTCTTAGTTCGATTTTCAGTAAAACTATTTAGTTGTATCTCAGTTATGTGATTGTATTCTCATTCTGTATACTGACCTTCACTCCTGGTTTAGCATTTGGGTCAGTACAGGTTGTTAATCGTATCCCATTCATAGAAATATATTTGTGATCATATAGGGACTTATTTTATGGTAGTCAGTTGTCTGGTACACTTATCAAACATAATATCGTATATGGACACCATTTCATGAAATTAGGGACTATATATAGGTCTTATGGTAAACAATAATCTTGGCAAGGACCCTAAACAATTCTGAACGAAAAAAATTCTCAGAAATGATCTTTAAGAAATTAGGTTGGTAGGTATATAGTTTAGAAGATTATGTAGCCTTCGGACTGATTAGTCATAATGATCTTCAATTTAATCCGAGCCAGATAATAATTCTTATCAAAGACGTTTATTCACTACTTTTTAAAATGTAAGTAGTTTAAATCGTTTTTGCAGTCTTGCTTGAAATGACCTTAATGAATACGTGGAAAGATTACGGATAAAAATGAAACGCCTAAATTATCTGTTTTTGACGTAGTAATAAAACAACTAAATCTATGTTTGCATTGTTACAGTCAACTCAAGTGACATATTACATTTCTGTAAATGCAAGAAAATATAACTAAATATTCATTCATCACAAGATATGAAAAGGAAGAATCAATAGTTTATTCAATTTATATCTACTAAGAACAAAAACTCTCATCTATTTATCAGTCTTATAAAGACACAAAACCCGATTCAAATCGATAACAAATTACTAATGGATTACTGATTTCAGTATGAATAGAAGATTTGTATCACAAGATTTCACATTCAAGATTAGTAGAAATAGATCAACTTGTTTATTGAATAGCATTCATTGAATACTCAAGAAATATGTTTTGAGTCACATATGTTGAACTCTTATAAATATGATCTTTTTAGAAGGTATTCATCAAAACCAAGAAGTTATTGGCTTATTTACCTAATTCATATAGAGGATGCTAGGCTCATTTTATCGAGTTCATTTCCAGATCTTTTAGAAAAATGATAAATGTATATATGGTGGGGAATGTCTGTATCTCATGTGATACCTTCTAACAACTTTACAAATTAGTCGAAGATTTGTTTTTTCTTTACACATATTCCGCAAGAACTTCAAACATGAACACACATATTTAAGATGAAAGAAAAAAGAGCAGTAACAACGAAATTTAAACAAATTGATGAATTGTTTGCTTTATACCTCTGTACCCATAAAGTATTTATTGTTTGACGTTTTTGTGACAATAAACATATTGTCTAGTTGAGGAAATCAAGCTATCAAAGGATATAGAAATGGTATACCTATTGAAGTCATGTTTATTTCCTTCAGTTTACACTTATTTATTTGAAAACATAAATATTGGTACAAAGTGGCAACGAATAAAGATGTGTCACACAAATCACTTGATTTGTATGTGGGCTGCGATACCGCCCAGGTGCTCAAACCAAAATAGGTGGTTTTCTTAAAGGGTCACACCGCGAACCTTTGACCTAACGGTCAGATCCATAAGGCAGTGGAGCAACGTCAAGAGATGCAGTTCCATGGTAGCCAGTGGCCAACAAGAGGTTCATACACCTTTTGTTACCTCAGGATACTGGAGCCCATGAGCACCATTGGTTTGGAATCAGGGTTTTCCAACTCCCCTAGGTGGATCCTCTATATCTAGTTCATACGATCATATATTTTACCTTTAAAGATAAAAATATGTAAGTAATTACTCATATGTAGTTGTTTTATTAAAGTACAATTAAATATAAAATGCTACTTAAAATATTAGTCTAAAAAATATAGTCTATAACAGTGCTATACTGCATATAATTTATTAACTCCAGTCAGTCAGTAGTCCAAGAGAATTCCTCGACCAGCATTATTTGCCAACGCTCGGACCGGTTGAAAAAAGCGGAGAGGCGGTCAGTGTATAACATGGTGTTGTGGTATGAAAGGAAGCTGCAAAGGGCTAGCTCCTGTTGGTCCTTCTCGACTCTCTGGTTGGGGGACCGAGAGATGGTGTAACACAGTGGCTAGATACGCTATCAGGTATGCCTCAGAATAGAAGCCAGTGGAGATCCTACTGTAACCTTTTTTTACTTTCTTTATAACAAGTGATTTTAACTTCCTGAACCGAAATTCTTTCTGGTTGTACTTTTCCGTTTCCCCCACTATTATTATCACACTACCATACACTAATCTCTGGTTGTTATTGTTCTCTTTTTTCCTTTCTTCTCTCTTATACGCACCTTACGTTCTTTTTTTCTTCCCAATCTCATTGCTATTGTGTAGTGGATATATATCTGGTGCCCCCTTGTACCAATTAAAAAATATAATATAAATAGTCAGCAACAACGTAGAACTTCGTATGTACGTACATCAGTTCGAGTTGCCATACCACACTAGCACAGAGACGTAAGTGTCGATTCAAATCACATAGTGGTAGAGATAGTAAAAGTATAAGCAGTAATCGGAAAGATTAGGGTTTGAAGATGTTATTCAAGGATTATTATCCTGTGAAACAGATTTGTAAAGAGAAAAAATGAGGGACATGAAGAATTCATATTAGGATTTGGGAGAACACAAAGAGTGGATGCACCTGCGCCATTGCAAACGATTTTGAGTCTATAATGTCGGTTGACATGTTGAGCCCATATATTTTATTCTAGCTTTCCGACAGGTCAATCTATTCATTCTACTTGAGTCACATTCTGACCTTGTTAATTATTCGCTTATCAATCTTGACTGTTGTTATATGAGCGCATATATGTGTGTACACTTCTTATCCTAATCACCACGTCTGCAACTTATTTTTGTGTGACTATAAATACTGATTAACGCTTGACTAAATGGAGTTGGCTTACCCTCCATCTCCACTGCGCGTTGTTTCGCTTCATATACAAAATATATGTATTCAAAAGTCCATTTTCGTTATTTGACTTATTTAATTCTCTTATTGACTAACGCGATTTAAGTCGATGATTATATACGAGGATAGGCGACATATATATTTCGACAACGATCATTCATACGATCAAACTGGAGTCAGATCATGAGCCACTAAAATGGAGCCCGTCAACAAACATCGTCCGATCTAAATGACGACAAAATAAAGGGCCCCACTAAAAATCATGTCACTCAAAGTCCCTAATCATCGGTTGCTGTTGTCTTGCGGATCCCAACCAAGTAGTCTACACCTAACATGGCTCAGTCCACTTATCAATGACTTTATGAATTTGTGCCATGTTTTGGTTTGGCCACACCTAGTTTTTTTTAAATCTACTCCTACACCATAAAACATCACATTATATTTTATCATACAACTAATAAGATGAATATCAAACAAAACTAGTATTATAGTTATTATTTAAAGATTAAGATCTTGCGCATATTATTCAATTCTATAATTGATCAGTTTTATCATTTTTTTCAAATATATAATTGAAATGGAATATATTTTCATTATACAAGTAAGGAACTTTCTTTACAACAATACATATAATACTATATGATGAAATATAACATCGATTAAAAAGAAAAGAACAAAAAATCAAATAGATATATTACTATATGAAATATATAACACAATATCAAATACATAAAAATTTAACAAAAATGTAAACACAATATTTACAAATAAATATATTTTAATCGTTGAAATCATGAGTCAATTGAAGCTAGACGAACATCAAAAACCTAGAAGCACTGGTGATCTATCTTCAATTGACTCATGATCTCAACTATTGAAATTTCTAAAAAATTTCCACAAAACCCCTTCTGATTATAGAGAGACAGACAGACAGAGATAATCAACTTTTACCCGTTGTATTCCTATTTATTTTTCTTGCTGATATTGAAGAAGTTAAAAACCCAAAGACACATTATTCCAAAGTAAAATATGATCTGTAATTTGTATTTCTATATGTTTACATGTGCATATAGAGATAATGGTTACAAAATTTAAAAAAAAAAAACAATTGCCACGTAAAACTGAATTGTTATATAAGATAGAGAGGAAGTTACAACTAGCATAACAACAACTAATTAATCACTATCTTGGTTATCATCATCATCATCATTGTTATTGTCAAAATACTTATTATATATAGATTTATTGTCACATCGTTTTGTAGTAATATTTGATAAATTACTACATGTAGACTTTTTCTTTTTCTTATCTATATCTGGTGGAACTGTTAAGTCACCAGAATATTTAATCACTTTACCAATAGCTAAACGCCATTCAAGCATAGCAGTAGAGAATTCATCATGACCACCAAGTTCATCAAATCCAATAATACGATCGCATACTTTTTCATTTTTAACAAGAATTAAAGTTGGTATCACTTGAATATTTAATCGTTTTGTTAAAAATGTTGCTTTCTCTGCATTTATTTTTACCATTCTACATTCAATATGTTTTGAAGCTAATAAACTTAAATGTTTATCTAAAATTTTACATCGAAATGTTGAATCACGATAAAAATGACAAACAAGACCAAATGATGATGTTTTACAAGTAGTAAAAAAATCTTTTTCATTTGATAATTCAGAATAAACACCATGTCCTAAAGCTAACCATTCAGAATGTTGTTTTGATTCTTCTTTCATTTGTTTAATTCGAAGTTTACGAATAGCTTCTAAATCATCATCATTTAAATTATCTAAACGATTAATTTGTTCATCTAATGTATCTTCTAATATTTGAGCTGTTTTTATTAAATGAGATTCAATTAAATTTTCATGATTAGTTGTTGATATTTGTTTCTGTTTGGATGTTTCATTTATATTATCAAACTAAAATTAAAATTGAAAATAATATGATAATTAAACTTTGAAAGTCAAAATAATATTAGTGAAGTGGATTAAATAGATAGTGATGTATGAAATTAAAACATTAAATCTAACTCGTAAAACTAATAATAGTAAGTTAGTTTGAGGAAAGCACCCAACTGCGTCACAAGACAAGCCCTCACATGGAATCCTCAAGACCAAAGGAAAAAAGGAAGACCAAAGAACACATTACGCCGAGAAATGGAAATAGACATGAAAAAGATGAACAAGAATTGGATGGAATTAGAAAAGGAGGCCCAGGACAGAGTGGGTTGGAGAATGCTGGTCGGCGGCCTATGCTCCATTGGGAGTAACAGGCGTAAGTAAGTAAGTAAGTTTTAAAATAATACGCTGATGATACAGGACATTAATTAAAAGATTATTCACTCATAAAACATAATCTAAATGATTATGTTAGATAGGATGCTAAAACTATAAAAAAAGAGAGAATATAATATTGTTTCCACTGAAGATATTTAGAAAGTAAATAACATTTTTACTTTTTATATACCCAATCTTTTACACTACTATTGATATTATTACCATTATTACTACTCTGGGATTTGAAATAATTTTAACTCACTAGTGATATGGACACTTGAATCAATGTACCCATATCAGATTCTATGTTTTGTACGACTGACTGACTCGGTATTTTGGATGAGTAATTAAAGATTATTATTATTATTATTCAAGCACACAAACATTGGTAGAAAGAGGCACCAAACAGATATATGCCACATAAATCACTCGATTTTTTATTGAGTGAATAATGTAATTTTAATTTGGGTTAATTTTATTACCATTAAATGCATAGAATTAAAATATGATAATTGTTTATCAACATGTTGGATAACTAAATTAATCTCATTGACCTAATTGAAGCCTAAATTTATTGGTTAAATGCTGAATTTTTTAATTTATTTTAGCTAATCCATATGTGGTATTTTTTGTAATTGGAAAATCCTTTCAAACTTCTAGATCATTTGATGATGTTTAGAAGTCTAGTAGTCAAAATGTTTTAATTCAGTCCGTCTACGGTGATTACGTAATGCTCGTGAAATTAATTGTTCGATTCGTGACCTGAAGGTTGTTGGTACAGAGAATGGAGATTTAACCTCTGGTCGTTTGTATGATCATGAGTGTGCATTGTAAAATGGTTCCATAACACAGGAGCATGAGAACTATGATACCCTATGATATCTAATAGTTGATATCAGTTCTTGATTAAAATTAATATACACTTGAATAGTCTTCACAAACTATGTACTATTAGTTGTTGATTTATTTATTTAGACACATAAACACTGTTACTAGGACGCACTAAATAGACGTGCACCACATAAATCAAATGATTTATGTGAGGGTTGAGGTATTGTCATATTTAGCACAAAATTACAGTTACTTGATAAAATAGAAAAACCATATAGTAAATCGTTAATTTGCAAAATATTAATTCATCATAAAAACCGGATTGTTCCTGTTGCAAACATCAATCCATTGTCTCACAATTCGTTGTTCATGCGTTCTTTTACAAATCGCATTGTGTTTCCGCTCTTCCTTTCTTGATCTTCTCCTATCTTCCGCTGCCAGACATTACGTTTTTAACTCGCTTCATATACTACTTATATCAATATAAGTAGCACGCACCACACTTGTCTCCCCTTTTAATAAGTTGTCGTCGTAGTCTTTCTGATCGCCGTACCGCTGTCTTCTCTGGTGCTTTTCGTGACTCCCACACATAATGATCTTGAAACCATCTCTGCAGTTGACTAGCATTTACGCGCTTCTGCTTGTCTTCTCTCCGGATAGTGTAAACCGAGCCGCGACTCTCCGTGATAACGTACGGTCCTTCCCACTTTGGGATCAGCTTTCCCGACCCTGCTCTCCCTGCTATGCTACTTTTTTGTTCTCTATACTTTACTAGCCCCCCCCCCCACTGCAAAAGGTTTCCACGTTCTCCTTTGTTGTTCCGCCTTCTTTATGTCTGATATTTGTTTCTTTTCCACGTTCCTTATTGCCTCCCTCCTCTCTTTTCTTAACCTTGTTGTCGTCCACTTCTGTTGTTGTGGCCAGGTCTTATTATGCATTGGAAGTCGTGGCTGTCTGCCATACATGAGCAAGAAATGTGACTTCTTGGTTGTTCCTTGTATGGAGGAGCGATGAGCCAGAAAAATCAATGGTAACTCTTTCTCCCAATTTCCTCCTTTAGATGCTAACCATTCCTTTAACGTCCGGTTGTTTCTTTCTGTAAGCCCGTTCGTCTGAGGGTGATACGGTGTAGTTCGTATCCTCTTGATGACAAACTGCTTTAGACGGGCTTTAAACTCGTCACTTTCAAAACAGGGACCCTGGTCAGTTATTATCATCTGAGGTATTCCGTGACACTACAATATACCGGATTACCACTTCGGTCACTGTTCTCGCCCGCTGGTCTGCAATGGGTACGACATCTACCCAACGTGTAGCATGTTCCGTCATCACTAGCAAGTACTGGTTACCGCTCGCCATCTGTGGAAAAGGTCCCATCACATCCACTGACCATAGATCACCGACTGTGGTTACTGGGATTGACTGTAATGGCGGTTGTGTATATCGATCGCTTTTCATTAGTTGACACTGCTGGCAAGTTAACACGTATTGAGCCACATCGTTTCTCATGCCCGGCCAATATGCGCTTTGTCGTAGTAAATCTGTCGTTCTTGCGATGCCTGTATGTGCTACCTGGTGACACTCGTGTATCATTTTACGCCGCCAGTCTTTCGTGATCACAGCCACCCAATTCTTGTCATCATCCTGCCAGGTCAGGACTCCATATGCGTTCACTCTCAGTCGTTCTTTCTGCTGAAGCAGCATTATTACCTCCTTGTCCATTGTTCGTTTGTCTACGTCTGCTCCATCTTTTATCACTCTGATTACCTCTCGAAGGTTAGGGTCAGCGTTCTGCTGCCGGACAAGTTCTAATGGGTCACCCTCTAAACTATTTACCGCGTATGTTGTCAATAGAAGGTCGGCTTCCATGTCTGGTCTTGACAAGCAATCCGCCATTACGTTTTCCTTTCCTGGAACATGGCCGATACTGAAGTCGTACTCTTGCAGACGTGTCATCCATCGTGCCAACTTCCCCCGGAGGTCTCTTGCTGTTTTCAACCACTGCAAGGGTTTATGGTCAGTCTCAGTGTGAAATCGTCTACCTAAAAGGTACGGTCTCCATTTTTCTGCTGCCCACACGATTGTTAAACACTCCTTTTCGATCGCTGAATACTTCTGTTCAGCGGGTGTGAGGACGCGACTCGCGTATTTTACCACTATCAGCCTGACTCGCTTGCGTCTGTGGCCACTGTAAACAGTTTTCCGGGTTCAGGCAGTCTGAGCGTCATCAGACGATCGTTTAGCATGTTTGTTCGGCAGTCTCAGTCCACGTAAACTTGGTGTTGCTCAACAACTTATATAGGGGTGCTGCTATTTTGTTAAAATTCTTGACAAACCGACTGTAAAAATCCGCCCTTCCAAGGAACTGTCTCAGCCCCATTTTCGAACTAGGTGTCAAAATATTCTTTATGGCAAGAATTTTCTCCGGCAATGGTTTTATTTATCTATTTCCCACTTTATGTCCCAACAACATGGCGCTACTTCTCGCTATCTGCGACTTGTCCTTATTAATCCGAAGTCCAAATTCGTCAATTCGCTTTAAGACTGCTTCCACATGCTTGACGTGATCTATTTCTGTCTGACTGTACACAACTACATCGTCGCCATATACCTCGACGTTGTCTAGATCTTTGAGCAGTAGCGTCATTATTCTTCTGAACGTAAATGGTGCACCCGCCAACCCGAACGGCATTCGTTTAAATCGATACTATTTGTCACGTACAGTAAATGTTGTCTTGCCTCGACCGTTATCTTTTATAAGCAGTTGCCAATAACCTAACCGTAAATCCAGCACTGTAAACACCGTGGCATTCTGTAGCCGATCTAATGTTTCCACCACTGTTGGCATTGCACAAGGTTTCAGGTCTGTTATATTATTCAATTCTCTGATGTCGACACAAAATCTATACTTTCTATTTGGTTTCTTTACCAAGAGTACCGGTGAGCTATATGGTCTGTCCGCTTCCTCAATTATACCTTCTTTCAACATTTCCTGGACCTGACGATTTACCTCAGCCTCTAAATGCACCGGGACACGACGTGTTGCAAATATATTTACTCGATCGTTCTTTATCGGGATTTCGTGCTTTACTTTGTCATAAAATCCGTACGGCTCCCCATCTCCAGTGAACAGTTTCGCATACTTTGTGCATAACTCGTTAATGTTTGGTTTCTTCGACGAGATGTCCGCTGCCACTCTTATTTCAGCCACTTCGCTACTTTCGTGTATTGGAAGTGAACCATACTTTGTGACCACCTTACCACTTCTTAAGTCAACTATCGCTTTTACTTCACTTAGGAAATCTGCTCCTAATATCGGTCTCGATAAGCTTGTGGTTGCCACAAACAGAAAATTTATCTCAGCATCTCCCACTTTTACGATACTGTTAGATACCCCCGACACCTCTAACATATGGCCTCCTATAGTAGGGACAGCTAATGTACACGGCTTGAGTCTTACATTTCTCTTTGTCTATTAACGATACTGCTGCCCCTGTATCGATCCCAGATTCCTAGGATAGAAAGCACACACGTTATAACGTCTAAAATATCTACGTCTTCGTCTTGTTGGACAGTTTATCTTCCAATGTCCTGTCCCCCTACAAGCGTAACATTTATCGTTCCTTATATGGTTCACTCGTATTGCTGCAATCTCACGCTCCAGCTCATCGATCTTCTCGACATTTATCTCCTGCTTTTCGCACCCGACTGCTCGTGTCATCAGCTGGCGAGTCACCTTTGCCAGTTCACTGATATTCATCGGTTGCGCTGCGTTTACTAGTTTCAGCTGTTGGGAGACGGTCGCAGGCACACTATCGATAAACTGCGACGCCAACAACTGTGCCTCCGACTCCTCATCCAGATTCGGCAGCGCACGGCGTAACAATATAAGTAACACGCACCACACCGGGTTTTTAGGATATTTAAGGTCAATTTTAAAAACTTAATCTCTATTTCATTCAACATTAACAAACTCAACTAATCAAAGTTCTCACGCGGCATTAGTAAAATAGGGGAACCAAACAGAAAGGAGTAAATAAGGACAAAGTTTGATCTTAATACAAACTAAAGAAAAACAGGGAACAAAATAAATGAATAAATTGACTGCGGTGGGACAGAAATATAAAGTCAAGAATAAGTGCCAGCTAATAAATATTCTTTAGCTCGTTCACTCTTTCCTCTTAATCTTCCATTCCTCCTCTCCAAAAAACATTGTGGAACGGTGGTTTAATGGTTAGGGTAACCGATCTTCAGCCACAAAGTCCAAGGTTTGAATCCCACTCCACCTACTCCAGCTTGGCCAAGCGGCTCACAGCCAAGTACTATGTGAACAAGTTTATTGAGTTTTATTTTATTTTCCAAGTAGTAGGAATCTCAGACTAATTTGAGATATGAGATAACGAAGGACAACACTTATAATCCAACAAAAATATAGAAAGTTCTCTTAATTTGCAGTCTAACATTGTAATATTTCAATGTTTAGTAGTAAATCATGAAACCTTTGTCGCCAATTCTGTGTAAATCCATGTCCATCCCAACTGGTAATTACAAGGTTCTTATTCCACTCTTACGTACGTTAAAGTAGCCGCTTATCATGCTTAATATGTAACGAAAGACAAAATTTAACAAATACCACTTTCGGAATTGTCGAAAACCGTCCTACATTTTTGATGTACAGTATGATAAGAGGTTATCAGTATCTATTAACTAAATGATCATACATAACCCGTGGCTGTACAGAGATTCAACATTAAATGATGGATTGTTATCCAATGAATAAAGCATTCAAGATCCATAAATGTACAGAACTCTATTAATGTGGTAAGCATAATCATCCACTACTTTTCAAAATATTCACCTGAAGCAACCAAAGTTAAGACGACAGTGAGTAGTGTGTGAGGATAACTTTTTAAGGGCTTTCAAACGCAGACCACGAACACACATCATACGATATGGAAGTAGATATTTATTCAGACAGTTCAGCATAGAAATATATAAATAAAGAGTTGGACCAACACCGTTTGTAACAAGCAAATAAATAGACAAAGATATCTTAAGGAAAATGTCAAGATGCTGTCACATATCGTTACAATCACAACCGCATCATAACAGTCCACCTCAACTAAAGACTAACGAACTGCAGTTCGAATTTCTCCTAGGAAAGAACAAGTACGTAACTTTAGGAAACATCCAGAGAAACTATCAACTTAGATATTTTGTAGGCTTGTATTCATAATCCCTTCATTTCAGAACGAAAATGTTGAGGAGATATGACAGTCCCAAATCTCCACTGAAGTCGATGAGCAACTTTTCCATTGAACCGAAAATTGAGACGTTATGAAAAGCTCAGAACCAACAAGCAAGCTGTTATAAACGGGTTTCCTACTTACATATTAACCCGATGTAAGATAAAAGCTGATTAGTATTGTATTCTTAGCTAACCTTACTTCGGAATTCGCTGAACTAACAACTGAGGAAAGAGACATATTATCAAATACCCTTTACTACAGGAATTATTTTCACAATCTTGAAGATATAATTCACAAACAGGAGAGCCAAAAGAAGTTCCTGTATTTTACCAAGTACTTCGCTAGACAAGTTCAACATTTTGAAATCGATTATTATGATTTCTACACACATGTAGACTTTTGAACCCTGTATAGTTATGTACGTGTAATAACATCATCAAATCTGGCAATACACCAAAAAATGGATTGGTTGAGCGTTATTAAAATAATTAATTAGTTACCCGACTCCACTCAATGAGAACGGCTGCAGTTAAAAAGCAGCACAAATCCATAGTGATCAATACAAATCCACGTATAGGTATATACTTCTAGGGTTTGATACCATATAATCAGACGTGGCATATCTATGCAACAAGTTCTTAAGATGGAACTTTGGTTTAGGGAAGATCTTAAGTGATATTATAATTAATCTCTTGCATCACTTCAATATGATCTAATCTGACTTAAAACGACGAATTTAAACACATACTATGTAAAGGGGAAAGAAACGCCAAACAAAAAAACTAAGCATACCATGGCAGGTTTAAAGAACCCGCGTTCTCTGTATCTAGGATTTTTGATGCAAATTTATTTCTGTCAAATATATAGTTTAAGCACAACTTGATCAGACAATGTATATGCTATATAAGTTATTTGAGTGATGAGAAGTTATTTTAATTTGACTCGACTGCAACTTTATAGCGTGAAAATAACTTCTGTGGTATTATTAGCTCCTATGTACACTATAGCAGTTGTTTTGGTATCATTTAGTCCAAACACAACGGTAATAAACTCACTGCACCCCAACAGGTTACGAAACGTCAGTCTTCGCTGACCAATTTTTCTCTACGTAGCGGTAAATTAACCCCCTAAATAAATAGTCCTGTAAATCTTCTATATTGATGCTAATCTCATTAGTTTTACTGAACACACCCTAGCTGAAGGTTCTCGTTCACACATCTGCACTGGATCACGAGTAGGTACGTCATTCCACGTATCCTTTGAAACCCCTGGTCGGCTTAGATCAAATGCTTCTTGGTATATCGAAATCCTTCGGACTCCTTCAGTTCCTAATTCCGATTTGACTATGCGGTTGTCCTCCTATTATAAAGAAGTTACGTATGAACGCGTTGTCAAACTTTAAATATCTGGGATATCTCTAGATGTGACGTGTACTATTACATTCCTATCTAGATATATATTACTCTTCCAGCCGTTATTCTCCTTTACCTTGCGTATCTTTACAATATCGTACTCTGCAACCAGCATCACCCGGGTATGTTCTGTCTAACACATCTTCAGATTGATCTTTTTAAAAAATGAAGTGGATTTATCAACAATAATCACCATCGATGTTCTACACTTTTTTGTTTAAAATAGGCGAATTTTCTGATCATCAATATATATGGTAATCAAAACTTTAGGACTATTTGCATATAGTAAAGGAAGCTAGAAGATGTTAACCTATCGTTCGTCAATGATCGGCTAAAAAATGATAATTATCTATATTTTGTCCTATTTGTGTGAAATAAAAGATACTATATGTTGTAGATTCCATGCGATGTAGTCCTCTGGATACTTAAGTAAGCAATAACTGCTGCCCAAGCATTAGGATTTCAAGTGACATACTTCATGATTCCTTTCTTTCCGCATTTTACGGGAAACCAATAAATCTTATTCTCGTATGCGAACTGTATTTCATTGACAATCCCCGTTTATTCCACTATATCACGAATATTGGAGGATCTATGGATAACAGATCATTATTAAGCATCACTCGGAATACTGTTTAATTAATCATCTCAATAGCCCGTATAATTGCAGAGAGAAGCGAAGTGGATATGCCGTTTCAGACTTTGATATTGTTAACCACTTCGAATTTTCGTACAACACAAGAAGTTAGTTCACCTTCTCAGTGAAAGCCGTCGGGGATATTCTATCTAATGCCCGCTTGATTTGTTCTGTGGTACTGTATGAATGTTAGGTGGTTGGAGGCGATAGGTATGAAACCAAAATTGTACCAGGTTCTGTGTTAGTTGATGCGTGTTGACAAAGTGTAGTTGTAATCTTGAGGGAACTAGAGTTCACCGTGAGACTCATACTTACTTACTTACTTACTTACTTACTTACTTACTTACGCCTGTTACTCCTCGTGAAGGAGCATAGGCCGCTCACCAGCATTCTCCATCCAACCCTGTCCTGGGCAATCCTTCCTAGCTCCGTCCAGTTGTAATTCATCGTTTTCATATCTGCTTCTATTATCCGACGTAATGTGTTATTTGGCCTTCCTCTTTTCCGTTTGCCTTCAGGATTCCAAGTTAGGGCTTGCCTCGTGATGCAGTTTGACGATTTGCATAATGTATGTCCTATCCATTTCCATCGTTTTTTTCTAATTTCCTCTTCAGCTGGAAGTTGGTTTGTTCTCTCCCTCAGAAGGCTATTGCTGATGGTATCCGGCCAATGGATGTTGAGTATCTTGCGTAGACAGCTATTTATAAATACTTGTACCTTCTTGATGGTGGTTGTTGTAGTTCTCCAAGTTTCAGCTCCATACAGTAGAACTGCCTTGACGTTGTTATTGAAGATTCTTACTTTGATATTGGTTGAAAGTTGTTTTGAGTTCCATATGTTCTTTAACTGTAGAAATGCTGTGCTTGCTTTGCCAATCCTTGCCTTTACGTCTGCATCTGAACCTCCTTGTTCATCGATGATGCTTCCTAGCTATGTGAAGGATTCTACATCTTCCAGAGTTTCGCCATCAAGAGTGATTGAATTGTATAATTCAGTGAAATAAATTTGGAAAGAGAAAAAACAGAGACAATGAGGATTCAGGAAGTTAGGATTCGGGAGAACACAAAGAGTGTATGCACCTGCGCCATTGCAAACGATTTTGAGCAACATCATTCAAGTCTCTAACCATCGGTCGCTATCATCGCGGTCCCCAACCAGGTGGTGTACATCTACCAACATGGCTCAGTCCACTTGTCAGTGACTTCATGGATTTGTGCCATGTTTTGTTCTGGCCGCCCCTAGCTTTCTTCCAACCTACTCCTACCCCACAGAACATCGCACGTCGAGGCAGTCGGTCGTTGGGCATACGTAACACGTGTCCTAGCCATCTCAACTGATGAAGTTTCACTACTTCATCAATTGATTTGCAATCCCTACCTAGCACTCGTTTCCTAACAACTGCATTACTTACTCGATGGTCCCAGGATATACGAGCAATGTTTCGAAGACACCTATGATCAAATACTAGTAACCTACGAATATCCTCTACTCTTACCGGCCATGTACATAAATGTTCAAACAAATATAAAATAAATAAATAAAAATCATACATGTTGAGGTGATTTGAAATGTTTCCATTTTTTTCTGAAATACTTGTTCTTAAATAATCCAATACACACTTAGGAAACTTTCAGATATGATTGTGAAATCATTTTTCGGAGAAATGAAAATATTCATATTATGATGTATTATTTACTTAATGCTAATAATGTGCAAGATTCCAACAACAAGATGGTTGGTTTTTAACATTTAGGACTTTCCTAATAATATTAACAATTCTATGTCAGAGATATGTAACTTAGTTGTGTAATTTAGAAGTTTTTTTAAAATCAGAGCTGAATGCTTTAATCATGACGCCTTAATTATCGTTCTGGACAATATTATTAGCATAAATTTTGTGATGGTCGGTATCCGATATAATCCTCAACTTCGTATACAATTCGTCTTGCTAACCGTTCTGTATAACGCCCCAACGGCATAATAATCAGAAGGCAAATACGAAGTGTTGATTACGTTTATTGCGAGACCACACACATATATCCAAATGTACAGATGCGTTAAACAAGCATAGAAGAGTTGTGCCGAAAGGCAAGCAAGCGAGTGAGGGCCAGAACAAGAGCGTGTGAGTGAGTGAATATGAATAACATGGACATATATATACCATGTGAAATGAATGAGTAATCGAATCGAATAAGCGGTTAGTAGTAAGACTAGCAGAGTGAATAAATGCGTAGGCAGTAATCCATATTCAAGCATACGTATTTCATACAAGCACAAAATAATAAGGGTACAATAAATTGTTATAGTGCGGATGACTTTGTCCGCTAAATAAGTTAGCAAAAGGGCTTAACTGAGTTAAATGAGAATAAACCCATTTGCACGTGAGTCGCTATAATTTCAAGCAGAAGTAAACTATTCAAATTACTCCAGTTTTGACTGAAAGATTATCCTGTCGACTTTGATTCTGACTAATTGTTTTTAACCTTTTTCTTGTCATCATTCTTACATTTGTTTTAATTATCTTCCAGTTTAAGAGAATTTAATGGGTATAGGGGTACTGCTTCCTAGTCGTTCCATTTTATTCTGTTGGTTCAGGTTAAAAGTACTTTTCGAAAATAAGACAAATCACCGTAATAACCTAGATTGTATGATGAACATAGATCTTTGTACTCAGTTTTGAGTCACACTGTTTTTGGTAGGGAGTTGGCATTACCTGGATACTCAAAATGAGTTAGGTGGAGTGGGTTCTAACTACTTACATTCTGATTTAGTGACTAGTGAGTTAACTGCTAAACATCCACTTCAATATCGGTATATCTTACTTTTGAGTATTGGTCTCATCATTCCTTAGAACTATTATTTCCATGATTATCTATTTTAGGTATATTTTCATTTCAACTTTTTGAAGATTGCAGTTTCTCCCAAAAATCCTTTCAATTATTTAAAATGGTTCGCTATTACATTTTAAATGAAATTAACTTATCCAAGCAATTAAACTTATCTAGTTACACAATAGCGGTTTTCTAATCTTTTATCATCACAGAAACATCGTAATGTTGACCGAGATTCCAAATCACTATATCAATTTTGTATTGGATAATCATTCTACTAATTAGTAGTTCAAATATTTTAGTTGAAATGGTTTTGAAAGTCAGTTTTCAACTTTAGTTGTCTTTTTTGTCAGTTGCAGCTGTATCCATCATATATATATATATATATATATATATATGCATGATGGAAATCAGTTTTTAACGAATTCTTTCAGAAATTCTACGAATTTTATTGAATACGAATATTACTTACTTGCTTACTTACGCCTGTTACTCCTCGTGAAGGAGCATAGGCCGCTCACCAGCATTCTCCATCCAACCCTGTCCTGGGCAATCCTTTCCAGCTCCTTCCAGTTCCTATTCATCCTTTTCATATCTGCTTCTAGTATCCGACGTAATGTGTTCTTAGGCCTTCCTCTTTTCCGTTTGCTTTCAGGATTCCAAGTTAGGGCTTGCCTCGTGATGCAATTTGATGATTTGCGTAATGTATGTCCTATCCATTTCCATCGTTTTTTTCTAATTTCCTCTTCAGCTGGAAGTTGGTTTGTTCTCTCCCTCAGAAGGCTATTGCTGATGGTATCCGGCCAATGGATGTTGAGTATCTTGCGTAGACAGCTATTTATAAATACTTGTACCTTCTTGATGGTGGTTGTTGTAGTTCTCCAAGTTTCAGCTCCATACAGTAGAACTGCCTTGACGTTGTTATTGAAGATTCTCACTTTGATATTGGTTGAAAGTT